GGCAGACTGCAAAGCACAGACTGCAAAAGTGCAAATGGAAGAGTCCAGTCTGTTTTCTACCTTTTTCAAGAAGCATTTTTATTCATGTTCCCTCTAGTTGAGCTGTCGAGGCCTTAAGGGTTTAGGACTTTAGGGTTTATTAGTCACAGGATGGAACTACGAGGATTGATGAAGAATGATAATTGTGGAGCCACAGACATGCGACATGTGGCTGTCGCTTCGCAGTTCGCAGTTCGCACCCGTGTGTACGACTTTGCGAGCCCTCGCGACTACTCTTGTTAGGATTTGGATTTTCAAATGAGTTAAAAATATATATATCGTATTATATACAGGAGTTCGAATACAAATGTGCTCATAAACAACTCGAAGACAGTTGGAGTTATGAAGAAATCTGCACACAGGAGAGTTACTTTCTCGCCCAAATTAATTTCTACGCATGGCGAGACATTCAGTCCGTTGGTCTATGACAGGAAAATCGAATTTGAGGAAGAAGAAACGGATTTGATATTAATAGCGAATGAGCTCGATAATTATAAAATATACGAGATGCTTGTGCACCCGATGTCAAGTCGAAACACAGTGCTTTATGGATTATCATAACAGTAACTCCGAGTATACGACCAGGGCCATTGAGCTATCGTACGGATGAAAAAACAGTGAGCTTGCAATGGATTTCATGAAGGCGAGACTGTATATGAGAATACAGACTTGAATGGCCATACCAATTGACACGATCGGTTGCCAAATCTACCGGCAGAAATTGGTGGTTGGCGCAGGTACAAGCTCGCCTTATAACCAATAAGTTATGTGCGACTTGAAGAAGTGTACGAGTAAGAATTCTGTAAGAAGTTCTTTAAACATTGCGCACAGCTTCCTTTCGCGTGAAGGTTGTCAAGACTTACTCTATTAAAATAAATATAGGTATACTTCTATATTAGTGATGAAGCTGTGCAGGTATCGTTAAGTAAATATTTATAGATATACTTGAAGTTGAGTAGGTATTTTAAGTCAACAAATTTTGGTATACTTCCAAGTACACTTTCTATTGAGCACAATGCAACTTGATCACTTCCGGACTAAGCAACAACGTTCATTCTGATCACTGATGCAGATGTACACTTTCAAATTTGTACACATTTTTCATATACCAGTAAGGTGTAGGGTCTACAACAAGCGCCCTGCTTTATATATGCTGGTACACTATGGGAGTGTGTATTTTTAAGTCATCATTACCTGTACAATCAAAGTACATACGCACGTACTTAAGTATATTTATATGTAATTAAAAGAACACAAGGTGGTTGTCTTATCGAATTGTCCTGTATAATTATGTCGAAGGAGTCGTATACACAAGAGGACAGACAAACGCAGACACACAAATATTGATGCACAAGCACAACCGCATAATAACACAAGTATATGCATACATACACGCATACACTCGTATATGCGCATACATAGCGTGTTTTACACACAGCACATTTTGTTGCATCACGTAATACGAAGTATTCATGGGACTTAGGAGCGTTCATCCTACAGGTCAGGCATAGGTCTTGGAAAAAACCCCCCCACAAAATCTGCAGTTTGTTTTTTCTCTCAATTGTGCAGTTGTTTGGAAAAAATAAATTTATATGTATGTATTGGTTTGGGTTAAAAAGTGAAAAAAAAATTAGTCTATACTCTCTAAAGTGATGAGTAAGCGTACTCCAGCAGACTAAATAGCTCTAATATTCTAATAGGGGTTTTTATAAAATAAATTCCACTCGAAAATGAAATATAGAGCCATAGTCCTCTAAATTATTATATATACAACAAGTGATCTATGATGGTGCGCGGTTGCTTTTTGTCTTATTTAAAAATAATTTGTTCCACCAAAGAAAGCTCATTACGTTATGGAGGTACGAATGGAAGTTGAACGTGAACGCATATTTATTCATTTTAAACGTTATAACGGTTATAATGTTATTACAACAGTCCACCTAAGTTGTTTGTATAGGACTAGTTCGTATATTGAAAACAGTACACCCTGCAATTTGTAGACCCGAAAACTGCACCTAGTATCATAGAGAGGACTGTATATGGAATGAAAGTTTAATGTAAACGTGTATTTATTAGATTTATAAAAGTTTGAACGGGAAACGGTTTGAGGTTAGCCACCAAATCACCCATTTTGACAGGACATCAAATACAGACCCGATTCAAGAGTTTGATGTCGGAAAAAGCTCACAACGACCCGAATAAGAAAATTACCGGGGCACTTTTTGGATTTTACATTTTGTTCAAAATTCAATTCTGACAAAATTTGAAAATATTAGCCGCTTTCTTGGTATGTACCCTTCCAGTGCGAATTTTGGACTTTTGAGGTCAGAAATCGACATGCCCGCCCCGGTCATCTTTAAGGTCTGTCGAAGAGTCACAATTTTCAAAACATCATTCCATCAGGCCTAAATGTCTATTTAAGTGTGTTGTGGCCCTCATAACTGGCACCGATCGCTTTAGTAGTAGTCATACATACGGTTTTAGTCATAAGCCTTATAATACACGATGGCCACCAAAGACGGCGATTAAGAGATGAAAGTAAAGGTCGTAAAGTGTCAGTTCGTGGCGACTGTAACAAGAAAAGGGTAGACACATATTGTGCTGATTGTTGTACATGCCTTTTTGAGCAGTATGAAGATTTTCGAAGCCAGAAATCTTTGATACAGGAGATAGGTGAGCGAAACGACGTGAGAGAGCGCTGTGATGACACATCGGCAGGACTACAGAAGAATGTTATTGAAGCACTAGACGGAGTTAGATTGGATACAATCAGACTGATAAAGGCCTAACGCTACAGCTTGCTGAGTTTGCAAAGAAAAAAATACTCTACACATCGTCGGGTACCTGAGAATATGTTCGACATTGTCACAGCCGAGATGACGGCCAAGAATTGAAAATATTGTTAATAAAATATCACTATATATATCAAATAGCGATGTATAACCGTTTATTTATTGACGTACACAGGGTTCAAGGTTTTCAAATCGACAACCGGTTTTTAAAAAAAAATACGTACCATATGTGGTTGTAGAACCTATAATTTAATGGCCCCAAGTTCAATAGTGGCCGCCCAAGTCAGTATAGTGGCCACTTCAATAATGGCCGGAATTTTTCAAGCCCGTTTTAGCTTCCTTTCATCAAAACAATCACCACTGCGAAACCCGATTTTGAGATATCGAATTTCAATGTATAAAGCGACTTTTAATTTTTTATTTGGAGGAACATCTCCTTATATCACTCTCTAAAATCTAAATGACACCTACTTTGGGTGACCATGGAACCCGAACCAGTGATCCGAATCTAAGGATAGATAAGCGGAAATTACTTAGGATGATTTAGGACAAGAAAATCACCCGGTCCCATTTTTAAATTTTTGGTCTGTTCAAAAAAAGTATTTGACCGTGACCCTCCCGGTCCGAAATATAAGCTTTGGAGGGCAAGAATCGACATGCCGCATCATTTACAAGATCGGTCGATATGATTAAAATAAGACTAAACTTATAATCATCAGAAGTTGAATATTACCTACAGAAAACATCTACTTTGTGCAATATTATACGCACCGTGAGCTCACGAGCCACATTTATACACTTTCTTGACATTTGGTGGTATGACGTTATCATTATCAATCGTAGAATACAGCTGGGTTCAGGCTGCGTTTCCATGTCAATTATTTGACAATGATACGTATTTTAAAATATTCTAGTTTCTCTACAGAGAAAATATCAGTTCTGGATCCAAACAATGGTTAGGAATGCGATATTGCTGTCAGCCATGGCTTGGATGCTAGTTTAGTGCCCTCAGGATGGTGGCATGTGACAATGATACTTTAAAGTGCAATTAAAAGTATACATAAGGGTAACAAGTGTGGTAAGATGAGTTGTGCATGATGTCAGCCTCATGAAACAGCATTCAAGAATACTTGGCTCACGGTGTGCTGATGAAAATTTGAAGCATACGTTGTGGATAATTGCTATACGATTTTTTTTTCGGACAGTCATTTGTGCATTGAGATTAATATAAATAGAGAATTACTAATGCTATATCGTGGTAGCGTAAGCACAATCTTCACATATATTAAACTGTGTGGAATAAACTAGATTTTCACTGCTGTTTAGCAGTTTCCTATGAACACTTTATATACGCTATTGCTTCTAGTCAAAAGCGCACTCAGATATACGTGAATGTAGAACTCATTATTGGAACATCCTCAATAGTGCATGTAACGATGTCGATATCTGATTCAGAAAAAGGTCGCTTTGGGGCGTATTCTGGAAGGCAGAAGTATAGCGCATTTCGACATGAATTCCTTGCGGATTGGAATGGTGTCCGCATGGCTCTGCAAAATGATCGTGAATGGATTGTTGAGGATGGCTTCGATTGCAGATACTCGCAACAATGATCTTGGTGCAATTTTGCACCAACGTTTGACGGAGGATCTGTTTAGACCCGTGCTACAGTACCCACGGAGCTTGAGTCCACGGATTGGACTACGTATGGCCTACATTCTCCATGAAGGCGAGACGACACGTGCCTTACACTGATGGGGTGAATCCTACACGTCACACTGCCGTTCATTAAACCCTTGTCTTTTTTTCATAAAACAAAAAAAGGGTTGTTTTGGCTAAAATTCATGAATATAAATTTTATATATACTCATATGAGTCATACAACTCCTACTCTTTTGTGTTTATTAAAAAATACAATCAACCATAGGAATCAATGAATCATGTGAGTCATGGGCTCGGGGCCCTTTTAAAAAAATAGACTGGCCAACAAAAAATCAATAAACAAGTTGGTCTATTTATATATTTCTATTTGTATTTTTACATCAACTCTACACACATATTTTGTTAAAAAAAAGTAGAAAAATTCCTGTTTATATAATATAGCGTGTAAATACAGAATATATATTTATCTATGGCGACGGCATGCGTTGATACGAACATATTTATTCAGCGCGTAGTTTCAGACGTAGTTTCATTTATTTCGCCTCAGACTCTCAGAGGAGTATTTGTCCACAAACTTGCCACAGCAGTATCACACAATCCCGGTAGTAAAGTGTATTCAATACGTAGGTGCGACATGTCTGACGAATCTCTAAATCTAATACCACGTCAGCGAGCGTCTTCATTGAAGACACACGATGGCACACCTACCGCTTCAATTCTTAATTTAGTGAAGACGATATTGGGGGCAAGTCTTCTAGCGTTACCAAATGCAATCCAGGCTGGCGGGTATGATACTTTTATAGCGTTCATTATGCCAATAACATTATTTTGATAAGGCATGTGGAATGAATCGAATATCAATCGATATTGGCGCTTGTATGTTATAGCATACTCTGCACTTACATGAACTTCAGTTTCGTTGTTTGAAAGGGTTGATGCAAATCGAGCTTGTCCTCCTAATAACCAGGTTTCAACGAAATAGATCCTTGTTCCTTACTTCACAACGATGTATTTATTAGTAAATATGATGAATTCACTCCGATAAACTGAATCAAATGACACACACACACACACACACATATATAAATACATATACATATACATATACATATACATATACATATACATATACATACATACTCAAACACACACACACACACAC